CCCCCCCCCCCCCCCCCCTCTGCCCCCGTGCGGGCCATTTCATACTACTAGCATCTCCTTGGTAAACCTGCCCAAGTACTGAGGTGGCAAATCCAAAAGACATCGAAGTAACATGGAATACGCAAGCACGCTGCCGTTCCAAGCGAAAAACGTCTCTCCCTGCTCCACTACTCCTACACTGCTGTACTTCGGCAGTATCGTACCGAGAAAACGAAACATCAAGTGCTCCCTCCCTCCATGCGGCGCAGCCAACCAACAGAATGTACGCGAACCAGACCGCGGCAGCGTTAAGTCGCAGGACAGGAACGGCCGCCGTTTTTTTCCAACCAGGAACAACCGTGCGTGTGCCCCACTTTTTCTCGGCCGCCAAAACCCAGATCGCACCCGGCGGGCGCTAACTTCCACCACACTACCAGACAGGCCGATTCTTCACGCTTGCCCCAAGCGGGTGCAGTGGGTGCACCTCCACGCTTGCCACGCAATAAAATCAAGCAGAGGTACGCCCCGCCACCGCTGAATGTCGCTTCGACCTTGGCGGCGCTGCCTCTGTTTCTACTTTCAATCGTCAACAGGTGGAATCATCTTCCAAACAAACGAAAAGAAGTACATGTATGCGCCGACACAACGGCCGCCGACTTGTGTCTCGAGCCAGCCTTCCGACAAGCAGCGGAGCAGCAGAAACAGCAGCAGCAGCAACAGCATATGGTGGTCAAGGCGCTCCCACACCCGGCTGCTGCACGAAGAGATTGAACTCCACAACGAGAAACGCGGAATCCCCTTTTGCACCCCCCCCCCCCCCAAAACCCCCTCCTTTTGTGATGGGGGTGGACCACCCACGAAAATGGATATAGAAGTATCACGTCAACACATCAGCAACCTACAAAAAAACGACCGCCGATTAAGACCAACAAAGACACGATTAAAACCCGCCGCACGTTTTGCTTGCTGGATGCTGCGCTTACCAATCAATGTAATCAACACGTGCATGGGGTGCTAGCCAACTCAAGCCAAGAAAACACCTATCCTGCCTACAGCTACATCGTCCTGCAAACGCGGCGTCAACGTTTCAGAGCGCTGATAGAAAATCCATGGAATAGCGCCCCCTCCTCGAGCAAAAAAGAAATGGAGGCAGAACTTCCCAACCCCCCCCCCCCGCTTGCCTTCTCTCTATGATTGTCCCCCTCCCTGTGTTGTTGCATCGAAGAAAACAAAAAACATGAGCATGGTACACGAAAAAAAAAAAGGTGACGGAAAACAAGAACGAAACGTGCCGAAACAGCGACGAAACAGAAAAAAAAAAAGAAAGGAAAACGAAGAAACAACCTAAGAGACCAGGAGGGCGCGGTGCCCCGCAGAATCGTTGCAGTTGCTTCGACGCCAGACTACAGCAATACGCGCTAAGCGGTAAGAGCCAGAGCAGCGCAGCGCATGGGCGAGACCAAAGTGGCGTGTCTCGCGAGCAGCAAACCCCATAATCCATCATGAGGCAATGCGCTCTCGGACTACACACACCTCTGGACAAAGAAACACGGGCACACACACACAAACAACGCACGCACGCACGCACGCACGAACACCACCCGCCTACCAATCGTCACCTTTATCTACCTAGAGACACAACCAACCAACCCCTCTCGAGGGCGACAGCAGGGCAGGGCCCGACGACAAAACGCAAACCCCTCAGACGGGTGGGCAGCTGGCCCGAGCACCATCACACGCAAAACCCAGGGCGAAAGAGGACTCTCTCCTCTTCGCTCCTCTCGCAACGCAAACGCACACTTTTTCTTTTTTTTTGTACCTTTTTCGTGAAAGCCGGGAGTGGGGCAAGACTTCGCTTTAAAAAAGAAATTAGAAAAAGGAAGAGACTCAGGGGGCGTCTCTTCTTCCCCCCCGCACACGAAACTACAACAGAACTAGCCTCGCGGGACACGACAAGCAGAGAGCGCAAATCCTGCCACGTGGTAAGTCACAAAACAGCAGACCAATCGAAAAAACGAAACAAAACACAAATAAAGAACATGAACCAACAGGATACAACGTGTTTTGTTCCCTGGCACCCTCGCCCCACATCCACTCGCCCACCCTCCCTTCTTTCCTGCTTTGGTACTACTGTTCTGCTGTCTGCTGTTCTTGTGTGTGCTACTGTAACCCATACAAATCCGCCCGCCTTCCGGCATATGGCACTCGGAGGACACTTTTTCTTTCTCTCCTTCCGTCCCCCTCTCCCCCGTCGTGTCCTCCCAACATCAACAAGCAGCACATCAACACGACGGCGGCGGCAGGCAGCAGCAACAACAACAAACGAGCAACGTCAACAACGACAACCAAAACGAGCGCCGAACAGCCCGACGCTCCCTCGGCGGAGCACCTCCTCACCCTCAAACCAAAGACACGAAAACGACATTTCCGCTGTGCGGCGCATCAAGCTCCTGCTGCCGTAACGTTTCTCGCCCAAAGGAGCAACAGCAGCCCACAACCGAAAACCAAAACATCCGGTGGATACAGCGGCCTGGGGACGCGACCAAACGGTCCACAGCCGACCCGGGTGTTCGGGCCAACAAACACCGCTGAGGCTCTTGGAACGACGACTACGCGCCCCTTGACCCTTACCGAACTTTGCCCCTCCCGTGCCATGGCATCGTTCGCCGTCGTCTGCTCTCTCGTCGCATCTGCGATCGCGTGCGCAACCTCTCCCGCACGGGTACTCACTCCCCTTTCCCCCTTGACTTATTCTTTTCTCGAGTATGTACAACAAACCCTATTTAAACCCGGTCCCATCAACCCACATCTCGGGGGGCGCGGCTCTTCTGATACCGCTGCCGCTGCGGTTCTGCGCGTAGAACGCCAAGGGAGACGATGATATACAATGAACGCCGCCTGTGGGTAAGGCTTTTTTTGACGTGGCTCAGCCCGTCCGACTCCCGCCATCGCGTCTCGTTCTGCTCCCCTTTCCCCGCCTGTGGCCCTCCCCTTCCTATCGAGAAAATACAGCAGTGATCCGTCCGTCGGACCAACAACAGAAAAAAACTCCATCTCTCAAGCACCCCAACCACCAACACAGCACACGCTTCAAACAGGCGCCAAGGGTGCTTGCACAACAACACTCGCCGCGTCAACACAGCAAAAAACAAAACACACCATGCCTCCTCATGTTCGCCCTCCTTTCCTCCTCCGATGGCTGTCAACAACAACGCCCTCTTTTTTGTGCGTTTGAGGTTCTCTCTACAAGTTGATGTCAACGTCGCCTCCTCCTCCTCCCTCACACACACCCAAAACACTCACACCCATACATTGTACGTACAGACCCTCGTAATTCAGTACATGTCGTCTCGCGCTACAGTATTCTCCTTTCTTCCTTCACCGAACCCTACAATCCAACACACTTTTAATTGTTCAGCGCCGTGCGCCGTGCGCCGTGCGCCGTGCGCCCCCCTTTCCCCTGCTTCCGTCGCGCGTTCGCCACGGGTTTGGCAAGGCAGGTGCAGGTGGGCGTGCGAGAGCACACAAGTCGTCGACACACACACCGAAAAAAAAAAAAAGAAGCAAGATTGACCAGCGAGAAAACTTGACTCCTCGTCTTTTAGTAGAGCGACAACTCACTCTACCCTTCGTTTACCTCAAGGCAAATCAGCCGGCCGCGGTCGCGCCACGCCCCCATCTATCGCTCGGCGCGCGGCGCCCCGCCGCCGCCCCCGCCCCCGTCGTTGGCTGTCCCGAGGGCGGCGAGCCCCAGCCCCAGAGCGTCCATGTCGAGGAGGTCTGCCCGGGTGGGGTCCCTGCGCCCGCTTGCCGCGGAGGCGTCCACCGGTCCGACGGCGGGTGAAGGGTTCCGCGAAAGCTGCGTCAGTTTCCGCTGGAGCTGTCCGATCAAGACTTCCTGCGAGGGGGGGGGGGGGCAAAGAAGCAATCAAGCCGTGCAAGCTTAGGGGAGGGGGCGACGACTATCAGCCGAAGGGCGGCATTTTCGTCGGACGGACCAACTTGGGTCGAGAGCGGCTCTCAAGAATCGTATTCGTACATGTTGTCGGGGGGGCTGAACAGCGGTGCGGAGAGAAGAGGGAGAAAAAAGGGGCCGCCGTCTTCCAGCTTGGGGAAAAAAGAGCAAAACATACACCGTTGAAGCTATATAACGAGACATGAGTCGACGACCAAAATCTACTACACAACAACTTTTGCGAAGACAAAATTCCTCCGCAAAGCATGGAACCATCTTCTGCACCCAAGTCCTAGGCGCGCACGAGGGGGGGAGGGAGGGACACAGAAGGAACCAATGAGCAAACGACGGACGAACCTGCTCCTCGACTTTTCGCGTCTTCGCTGCCAGCTCCTCCCGAAGGCCCGAGTCATCCGGGTGCCCGCTGCCGCCGCCGCCGCCGCTTACGTCCCCGCTGCCGCTCCTACCCCCCCTCCTGTCAGCCCCGCCCGTGATCCCCCCCGGGCAGCCCTCGCACCCGCAGCGGCCGTCCATGTCGTCCAGCATCTCCAGCATCTCCTCGGCGGACGGGCGCTCCTCCGGGACGGTGCGGCACAGGAGCTCCGCGAGCCGGGCGACGGCGGGGCTCCGCTTCGCGAGGTGCGGCGGGGCGGACCCGCCGGGCTGCCGCATGGCCTGGAAGGCGTCGGCGCGCTCGTGCGTCGTCGTGAAGCAGCAGCAGAGCTCCAGCAGGACAAGCCCGAGGGAGAACAGGTCGGACCGCACGCCATACCGCCGGCCCTGCAGCTGCTCGGGGGAGGCGTAGGACGCCGTCCCCACCCCGGTCGTGTGGCACTCGCTCTGCGGCGGGTTCCGCCTCCGAGGCACGATGGCCGCTTCCAAGGGGTCGGGGTTCACCGCCGCTGTAGCGGTGGCGGCACTGTTTCTGCCGCTGTTGCTGTCATCGTCGCTGGAAAGACCTGTCGTAACCTCTGTCCGGGAGAGCCCGAAGTCTCCGATCTTGAGACAGCCGTCTTCGCCAACGAACACGTTCTCCGGCTTTTTGTTGAGGATGATGGGTGTCGTCGTGCAGATCATGCGGGAGTTTGGCGGCGTAAGAGGTGAGACGCGGACGAACAACGCCCGAGATTTGACCAGGACGGGGGGAAGGTGTGCCGGAAGACGTGAGGCTAGCCACACATAGACTCTGGTTGACATTGTTGTGACGACTTGGTTTCGAGATAACAGTGAACAAACAAATTGAATAAATGTCTTGTCAACCGGTGTCGCATGGACAGCGTGCCATCCTTTGCCCAACTACAAGCGACAACCACTATTATAGAGAGCAGAACGGGAAACATCCAACTCCGGCTGCTACTGCTGCTGCCGTACACACACACCAACCGCACGCATGCGACAGGAAGTGTCGTCGCTCACCGCACCCACGAAAAACATGGGCCACACGGGGGGACAGGGAGTCAGGTCTTATCACATACCACCATTACACACACACCTTCAGGTCCCGGTGTATGATCCCCTTGGAGTGCACGTGCGAAACCCCTTCGGCGAGCTGCCGGAAGAGATGCAACGCCTCGTGTAGGTCCACGCGCGCCCCCACCCCGCGGGCGCCCCTGCCGTCGCACGACCCCCAGTCCGAGGAGACCGATCGAGCCGGGGATCCGGCGGCGATCGGCGTCTTCCGCCGACGTTGCTGCTCCCCGGCCTTCGCGGGAGCCGCCGTGCTGAAAGCCTCCTGCTTGGAGCTCCCTTGGCCGCCCTCGCACTTCCGGCTCGTCTCGCGAGTGGGAGGGGGGCACAGCACGCCCGCTCCGCCGCCGCTGCCGCTGCTGCTGCTGCTGCTGGCGCCGGAGGACGAGCTTTCCGACGTCCGGTCTGACTCTCCGGAGGAAGCGGAGGTGACGGGGTCCGTCCTCGGAGACGTCGCGGGAGTTCCAAGGTCGGCCTTGCGGCCGCCGTCGCCCTTGTCGAGGTCGTTCGAGATCAGGACCGCCGGGACCGAGCCCGTGTTGCCGCCGTCGAAGGCGGGTCGGGGGGGTGGAGACGGCGGCGATCGCGAACAAGCGCGAGCGTCGTCCTCGAACAGGACGCCGCTCCCCGCGCATTCCGAAGACAGCCGCGAGTTACGGTTCTGCAGCCAGTCCTGGAGCGTCTCGCTCGGGCAGAGCGTCATCTGGATGTACAGGGTGACCTTCAGGGGCACGTTGAAGCAACAACCAGGTATCATAGTTGGGAGTTGGGGGAGCGGTTCAAAAACTCAAAAACTCGTTTCTTTTCATTCGTTGCTTGTTGTCGTCTCGAACAGTTGTTGCCTCACATGGCCATGGCGGAAGCGTCGAGAAACCCACGCAAGAATCAGTGATGTGAGTATATTGCGATACGCTTAAGCGAGATCTGTTGCTTCACCAGAAATATGCCACCCCGTCCCGCACTGTTCTTTCCGGCACTAGCACCATGCACGGCTCCAACAAGTACGTACGCATCTACCCTTGAATTTTCAATTTCGCACCACCATCCATCTCTCTCGGGTTTCATCTTCCACGCACAGATACGCATCACACAAGCGTATGGGTAACGGGGGGCGTGGCTAGCCAAGACACCCACCGGGTACTGGACGAGCCTGTCCGGCGACAAGCTGTGCCTAGCGATGCGACGCTCCGAGCCACGTCCGCGACCGTCGCCGTTGTCGAGACGGATCCCGCCGCCACGGCCCCCGCCGCTGCTGCCGCCGCTGACCACGTCCCACTCGCGCCACCCGGCGTTGCTGCCGCCGCCGCTGTCGTCAGAAGAGTCCGCAAGGACGCCCTGGGCAGGGGCAACACTATCGTCGCCGTCACCGTCCGCGGGAGAGGAAGAGTTCCCGAAGGACACCAGGTCATCCATGTCGATGGACGGGTTACGGAACTGCTCAGACCGCAGCGTCCGCACGGGTGCATGGACCCGCCTGCGCACGGCGGCGGCGGCGGGGGCGGCCGTGATCCCGGTCCCTCCACCTTCACAAAACCGGGAGGAGGAGGCAGTGGCCGTCGTACCCCCTCCGCCGCCTCCTATCGAGTCCTCGTCGAAACCCGCGTACGATGACGCTTCGCTCCACCTGCTCGTCTCGCTCTCCACGTCCTCCGCCGACCACCGGCTGAAGCCCCGGTCGCGGCCGCTGCCGGCGGGAACGATGATGTGCTTCGGAGACCGAACCTGGGGGGACATGGAACCGCGGCGGTCCCCTCGGCGGCTGCCCCAGAGCAGCCCGCGCCCCCCGCCGTAACCGCCGGCACCAGCACCAGCACCGGTACCAGCTGCTGCGCCTTGATTATGATGGCGCCCGCCGCGCGGCGGGCCCCTCCTCGTGGCGCCGAACTCCGCGTCGCCGTCGAAACCCCCGTCGCTCTCCGCACCCCAGCCCCACCCGGAGCCGGAGCCGGACGCCGAGTTTCCCGACCGTACCATGGTCTCCAGCCCCTTGATGAGCTTCGACTGCATGTGGGCCGGCACCAGAGCGTCCATGCGATCGCGGAGGGAGACGTCCGCGCTCGCGCCCGCGCCCACCGCCCCCGCCCCCGCGCCCACCGCCGCCGCAGCGGCGGTGGCGGTGGCAGTGGCGGCGGTGTTGGGGTCGCCACCGCCGCCGCCGTGAGGGTAGCCCATGCCGTTTTCCACCCAGCTGCTCTCCAGCCAGGAGGTATGGTAGCGGACGATGTTCTTGTGGTCGAGCTGGGCCAGGCACTGGACCTCCCGCATCACGGCCTGCGCCCGGGGATTGGACACGCTGGTCCCGCGGAATACCACCTTCTTGATGGCGTACCTGTTATGGGACGCACGTGTTAAGGAGCCGGGGGAGAAGAAAGGGCACGGAGAGATGGGTATAGTCATGGCTTATGGCAATATGTCACGACACGTTACTTGTTCGAAGCGTTGAGCAAGTGGTGCCCCCTGTGTGCAAGCACCGCGGACAGAGGCTTTCTCGAACGACTACAAGCATTGGGAGTTATTTTTTCCTCCTTGGTTCTCACCTCGTGCCATCCAAGCGGTGGCGCGTGCGGTAGACGTCTCCGAACGAACCCCTCGCGATCAAGCCCTCTTCGTCGAAATCCCGCAAGTACCTAGATACACACACGCGGTACCGTCGTACACGTGCAGCGCAATGGTACGGAAGCGAGCAAAAGAAAACGGTGGAAAGTCAGACGGAAACTCAACCAAGTGCCGAGACATAAAAAGTTTGGTAAAAAGTGTTGAATTAATAGAACGTAACCTAACTGTCTCGCAACCCTCAGCGAAAGCGTATCCTACTATTTACCACATTCAGGTGAGCCATGCTCAACTGAAAGCCACAAAAATGCAAAAGTAGTACACCGCACACACTATTGTAGAACAAGCAAGTGTTCGTGTTGTACATCCCTGTCCGTTCGAGCGTTCACACCTCGACGTGCCGAGCACCCGTAACCCTAGCGGCGTCGCCGACCGCCTGTCCCTGTCCACGCCATCGCCCCCGCCGCTCGCCTCCGCCGCCGCCGCCGCCGCACGCGCCGGCGGTCCACTCGGCCACGCGCCCAACAGCAACGGGTCGCCCTGTTGGCCCCCGCGGTTAATCTGGCGCCGCACGGCCTCGACGACGGCGGCGCGATCGGGAGGCGTGCGGTACGAGGGAAGGGCCACGGGGGGTACGAAGCCCAGGTCGAAGAGGAACTGGATGGAGTCCAGGACCTTCGCCTCGTAGAGCACCAGCACCTTTTGCGTGAATACGTGGGACAGAGCGACGCAAACAAGCAAAATGGTTATGCAAAGTCATCAGTACTGCTTTACACTGCTCATGTAGCTCATAAGGTCGTGTGTGTGTTATGTGCTCTTCCCCTCTTTATACGCCACGCTAAGCGAAGGAGATGCGTGAAATGTACATGTACTACAAGTATATATTTACTACAAAATTAATCAATATCTGAACGGTGTTGGGTTGTTCCGAAGACCGAAGAAGCGACGGGAAAAGCGAGCAACCGCAGGAGATCGCAGTTTCTCCGGCAACGGACACGCAGCGCGCTGCGCGGGTTGTGGACACACGATTGAAAACATCGTTGAAGTCGCCTCTCGCGAACAACACCACTTATGTTTATATTTAATCGAAAGTCTGCGATCACCCATTCCCTTTCACAGCAAGGAAAACATCTATCTGCTGCTACAGCCATGTATGTCGCCGTGGCCCGCCTCTGACGCTGCAAGCACGTCGCACGTCAAGCTAGCTAAGCAACGCTCCTTGTTGCTGAGCAACCCAACGCGGTTGATCACAAGGCACACGCTCACGCACACCCACTGGTTTGTTTGGGACCAGCCACCACAGCAGTAGTCAACACAAAGACACACCAAAGAACAAACCCTTTCGCTTTCGCGTCCAAAACATCAAAATATGCCGCTGCTGTTGCTGTTACGCACCCAAAAAGAGCGAGCCCCCCCCCCGTGCCTACCTGCTCAACGAACGTCCTGGGCGTGGCGTCATGCTCGGAGCACATGTGCGCGAGCAGCATGGTTAACAGAATCTGTCTCTCGGCGTCGAGGCGGACGCGCTCGACCCCGTCCGCCGTGCCACCGTGATCCGCGCCGCTGCTTGCAGCCGTAGCAGCACCAGGAGCTTGCCCTGCTGCAGAGCCGCTCGCCGCCGCTGCCGCCGCCGCCGCCGCCACCGCCACCGCTGCTGATTTTCCTCCGCCTCCTGCACCCTCCGCTGCCGCTGAGGCTGAGCTGGCCCCGAGCTGCTGCCGCTCCAGCTTTCCCTGCCGCAGCAGGATTTCTTCATCCACGGAGCGATCAGATAGATCCGATAGTTGACGCAAGAGAGGGACAAACCCTTCATGATGCTGCTGCTGCTGCTGCTGCCCACCTCCTGCTTTTCATGAGGAGTAGAGCACAACGCACAACGGATATATTTGTTATCACCCCATCACCAGAAGCATCCAAGAGGAGAAAGGAAGGGGGGGAGGGAGGGGGGGGGGGGGGCAAAGAGCTCGATGCCACGGCGAGCGTTGTGCTCGACTTCCATGGATGGGTTGGGCGGCAGAGCGCGAAGGGTGAAGGATGGGCGGTGAAAAAATTGCGCGAATCGTGTGAGGGGTGATTTTTCCATTTTTCACTGGGTTGGAGAGAAGAAGCGGCGTTCATGTTATTCTTACCCAGGGCAAACCAACTTGTTTTTGGATATTTTTGTCGAGCTACTAACACAATCGACCCCTCGCGCGCGGCAGCGTGAACGGGAGAGCGTAGCCATGGAGTGTTCGCCAAGAGCGGAGGGGAGAACGCTCTACTGATACCAGGGTGCAGCGTTGCAAAATTGGCAACACTTGTTCTAGCGCAAACAGCAACAGAGGCACAGAGGCATCGCGACAGCGCCTTCGCCAAGCCAAACAGGACAGGACGCGTGTCGGATTTTGTCCAGATTTTCAGTGGAGCAAAGAACGAAGCTCGCACTCAGCGGGTGCGACTAGAGAACGACCAACAGCAGTGGGAGGGTGTCAAGGTAACGCAGTGCGCCAAGGCAACGTCAACCTCCTTCTCTGGCACGTGTACACTTCGAAGGAGGGGCCCTCAACGCTCCCCCCCCTCGCCTTCTCTCTGGGACGGAAAAAAGAAGACATTGGCTGCTTGCTCACCTTCACTGCTACCATCCCGTTGTTCACCCAGCTTCCAATTTACGTGCGACATTCCCCTCGCCGCGCCCTTGCTTTGCCAGAGAGCGGCGCCTCTACTGCTGCCACACGACGGCGTTGCCAGGTGCGTCGCTCGCCCGCGATCCCCTGGCATCCAGGCCGACCCACGGACGAAAGCAACAACGAACACCAGGCACACCTACAGCTGCAGCAGCTTCACGATGCCTTTTTTCAGGAAAATTTCGCGAAAGCTTTGAAAGCTATTCCTATCTCGATGCACGCTTCGCTCCGGCTGCTTCGCTCGCGACGGGAACCAATGCAGAGCGGCCGGCAAAGCTCCAAGAGAACGTGCGTAGATAGAGGGCTAGATTTTCACGCGGGGCACACTTGTGTCGTCTGAAGTGTTCACACTCGCTCACAGACCGGCATGTGGTGACTTGCTGGTGTTTTTTTTTTCTCACAAATTTTTCTCTGTTTTTTCTTTTTTTCTCGTTGTGTACCCTCTTTGTGTGTGACAAGATGAGGTGCTCCCTACAGAGCTCCAAAGCTTCCACCCACTCCCAGCTCTTGTACATGGAGTAAATTCGCCCTATCCTCCAGTGGGTTCAGCGTGCTGCCCAGGACCTGGTGCGTGACGCTGATCCGCTAGAAGGTGATTTTAGAGCTAACCAGCCGGCCGGCACCATGCGCCCCGCACCGAAAAAACGTTCCCCGTTTGTTCCTTTGAGACATACACACCCGTCTTCTTGTTTGTACCCTGTACCCCATTGTGTCAATTCCCCTATGAAATGGCCACTGCAATCCACTGCATCATCTCATCATCACCATCACTGCGTGTGTGTGTGCGGAAGATCCACCCCGCCTTATCGAGAAAGCGGCCGCCCGCGTACTGCTGTAGCCAGCCAGCCTGGCCGACACAGACAGCGGGGTCGGGCAAAACAATTACCCGAGTGAGATTCAAAGGCTGATGGAATCCTGCGTGAGAGCGGTGGATATTTTTTTAGCGTGGGCGCGCGCTGGGCTCTGAAATAAATGCAGTTTGTGTTGTAGTTCTTCACAGACACGCATCATGCAACAACACTGCAGCTCTCACCATTGCTGTTGTTCCTGCTGTAACGGCGGCCGTTTTTCACATGTGTTCCTTGTGCCGGGTTGCACGTGAAGGGGGCGTGCAGAAGCCGGGTGATGATGCGATGGTGTGTGTGTGTGTCGGGATCGTTCGCCAGGTTCCGTGAACTCTCCTTGTGTGAGAAAACCCAAAACCTTCGCCCAATACTCAACGCCCAGAACGATTTCCCGTGTGGTAATGGGGTAAAGGTAGCATAGCGCACAGACTCGACCTTATGTTCCACAGATTACGACATGAATATGAACACGGCAGGCACCAATTGCACAACAAGCACTTTGTTTGGCAAGAAATTTATTAAGGGCTCATTCAGGGTGAAAGAAGACTTAGGACCAGGTGAAAAATTTTCCGAGACATAAACTACGACGACCAATAGACAACAACGGAGGCCCAAAATATGGCGGCTGCAAGGTAAAAACGGAGGGGGCGGGGCGAGGCGCTACTCTTCTTGTGTTTTGCATACCTTACTTGGCGTTTTTAGACCATTCATTGACCACGCGTCCTCGAGAGGACGGAGCATTGTGTTCCCACGGGACCGATCACCGATGGCCAATCGTTCCTACTTTGCCAAAAGGTGGCTCAAAAAGGTTTTCTCTAGCCTATTTATCCTATCGATATCACTTCCTGCCTATTCAACCCACGTACAGTCACCACCGTCTTGTCCTCGCTATTCCGTGCCTCAAACATCTTCCTGTATCTTCCTTCTACTTTCCCCAGCTAAGTGGTGTATACTCCCCTACAACGGACATGCCGCAACTACACGAACCCGGTCTTCGCACTCGGAGCCGTAATCACATTTGAACTTGGCGTCTTCATCGTCTACGTTCCTAAATCTGCGTCTACGTTCTCAAAAGGTCCTCAATTTGACCTTCAGCTTTGTCCCTGCATCCATTGGTCCATGTAGGCACTCCATGAACCGTTTTCCTCCTTTCAACATCGTACACATCTACATGTAGACCCTTCTTAATCTTGGTCTCTTTGGTTAGACTATGTTCTCTCTCGGCAAAAGCAACAAATATATTATCCTGGAACCCTCTAGACCTTCCGCTTCCAGTGTATCACCTTCGTCAATTTCGACCTCGTTCCATACGTCATCTACAACGTTGACCCACTCGGTGGGTTGTTTGCCCCTCTTCTTGTTTGCCCACTTTTCCTCCAAGCTATTCTGGGTAACCTCTCCTCTCCCATACCGCACATGCGATACTGCCATTTTAGCTTCCTTGCGTCTCTTCCCGATCGTAGGGATTGGATCCCCAGTTCTGCCCTGACGGCTGCATTACTTATGCGCTTGGAGCATCCTAGGATGATTTTCGCTGATTTCATCTTCGACGCCTCGAGCCCTTTGACCGCAAAAAAAACAAAAAAGGCAACAAAAAAGCGGTAACCTGGTTGCCGAGCTCACATAGTGATCGGCTTGTTTTGCCAAGCGACGCCTTTACCCAACCCCGATGGCAACACCAAGGGGGTGGGGGAGTGTGTGTGTGGGGGGACCCTCAAGGACCTGGGAGAGTGCCTTGGAAGCTGGGAGGGAACAGCGGCTAAGGATGGGTACATCCGGAAGGCTGAGAATGGCAAACAACTGGACGTTTGGCTCGGGCAGCCGCACAGCTCGATAGGAGAGAAACCAATATGCATCGACACCGTCTGCCCGGGGTATATGGTGATCACGCAATGGGTTGGGGTAGCCAGCCATGGAGTTTGTCGACGATGGTCCAGACAACTAGCGGGTTCGCCTTCGAGAAGTGTGGCATAGCGATGAGTGTGGATGGTTCAGACATCGATCGAATCGGGTTGGAGGGACTGGACAAGACGTAAAATGGACGCTGAAGGCTCCAGCGACAATGAGAGAGTGCCAGACACTGGCAGCGACGGGTGCGGGGAGGGAGGATGACCAGAGGGTTGGGAGAGGGGAGACGAGCTTGGTGGGTACGGGCGAGAGGAACGACGGCGGGCAGGGGATGGAAGCGGCGATTCCAGAGACTAAGACGATGACGGAAAGTTTGGTTTTCACCAGTTTATACTTTTCCATCACATCTGCAGTGTTCCCGTCGTCTTGTTGCGTTCACGAAATAGCTTGTATTAATGAACATTTGTTTAGTGACCACGGTGACATGTTTTGGCGATCTCGCGGTACCTTTCTACGAAGACACGTCCGGGCCATAGCGGTTAGCTGGGCTTCTGGACGAAGATGAAAGCATGGACGTGGGCGACGAGATACAGCACGTACGTGGAGATCCCCGACAGTTGTTGCATCCAGGCGTGTGCGGGCTTGTTGCTCTTGACAGCTCGTTGCTGCTGGGGTGCAATACTTTTTGGGGTTGGTATGGAGTGGTTTGGTGGATAAAATCGCTCGGCAGTCGGCGTATCCGCTACCGGTACGACTACCTTCTCCGAGACTGAGTTGAGACCCAGATGCGGGCGTATGCTCGTGGATTTTGCTAAAACGAACGCGGCAGAGCAGGTGGATGGTGCTACAATCGGAGCTGTACCTACAACGGGCGAGTTGCTCCACGATACCAAAGTTAGCACTAGGCCTGACTTAGGATTTGTGTGCTAATGAAGAGGGGGGTAGTCGCACCAACTCCACCTTACACACAGTGCCTCAAAGCGTCACCCAAGAGTCAGATCGGGACGACGGTGACTGGGGGGGAGGGGGGCATACTCACATTCAGCATGCCTCAACTATTCAACCATTGACCACGGGTTTGTTTGGGTGGCGGTCCTGTTGGCGGTCCGAGCGACGCATTTCTTTGAATTAATGAAACCGGCGATGATAGTTTGAGAAAAATATGTACATCATCAAGTGTTATTACCACGGGCGACCCGAACACCTCAGACACAGAGCATCAGCTGACACACGAACGAACCTGTTCTCTCGTGGGTTCCCTTTACGTAGGGTTGAGACTCTGAAGACCACCGCCACGCGCAAGGTGGGAACAGTACTCCCCTGAACCTTTGCGCTCCCTTTGTTCATGGTCCGGACAATGGCCTCAATCCCAATTCCCTTTCCCTACGAACCCTTTTATTTTCGTCGTAGCTTTGGTATCTACAACCACGCAGTCCACGCGTGACGCATTAGACAAACTCCATATGTGGTTGTAACACACCAACAAAAATAACACAACACAAAATCACACACCAACAACACCTCAAAAGTCAGACAAACAGTACTTGTGATCGGCACCATACCGCACCATTCACCGCTCACCACGTATAAATTACGCTAACCTTTCTCGTGTTCCAACCTCGCCTCCCACACGCTTGTTGGGTGGCGCATGAAAGTAGCATGGATCTGAGGCATGCAAAATACCTGTTGTTCATCCCACCTCACACCGCCAGAGGAAATCATGTGACACGTGTAGGTAAGTCAGGGAAAACGAAGAGCTCCATTGTTGTGTTGACGACAGCGAGGCTCGACCCGTTTCTTCGATGACTTTGACGATATACACGTCTAGCTGCGTTCTATTCAATAAATAAAGACAGTCTTGAAACGCGCGTTTCGCCGATTACTGCTGATAGATGCACAACTCACCACTTATGCCTTCCCGCAAGTCGAGACCCCCCGCCCCCCAACCCGCGTACAAAAGTGCTACCGTGGAAATCACGTGGCCGGTATGCGGGATGGACGGCATGGCCATCTGTTACAACTTGCCTCTGGCGCACTTCCTTTCCTCCAAGACCCATCAAGCGAACCCGAGGTTTTCCCGAACTCAATGCTCAAGACCCCGTTCCACCCTACGCAACCGTTTGCCACCTTCAACAAGCACGGATGTCGAAAACAGGCCAACCAACAACTTGACTCCATTGCCCGGTGGCTCGGCGTCGACGTTCGCTGATTGCGTTTGACGACAACTCATTTATTTTCGTTGGCCCCGCCGCTGCCGCAAACGCC